AAATACATAAAAATAACAAATAGTATACACCTACATAACATTTAAACCGAATTAAAAATACCTAGACACTTCCTTCATGGACAACGGACATCTGGACACCGACTTCCTCGACGGCGGACACGTAAAAGATACCTAGACACTTACCTCTACGACGGCGAACTCGTAGACACTTTCTTTCTCGACGACGTACACCTGGACACCGACTTCCTCGACGGCGGACACGTAAAAGATACCTAGATACTTACCTCTACGACGGCGAACACGTAGACACTTCCTTTCTCGACGACGGACACCTGGACACTGACTTTCTCGACGGCGGACACGTTAAAGATACCTAGACATCTACCTCTACGACAGCGATACGTAGACACTTACCCTCTTCGACGGAAAAAACCTCCTCTCGACGACGAACACCTAGACACCAACTTTTTTATTAACAGCGAACACCTACGAGCGGGAATTAAATTTATAATTTTCGAGCGAGACAACTTGGTCGAGGTGATCGTTCGAAAAATCTATATTTTCGAGCGAGCGTTACTTACCGGAGCTGAGCGCTAGAAAAAATAATATTTCCGAGCGAGCGTCTACCTCTTAAGATAAGTTTTCGATTTTTACTAAACTTTAATGAGTTTTTCTGGCCAAACGGAGCGAGATAGAGACTCGGTGAAAAGGACCTTTCTTGTCCCTCTCGTCGAGTACTATAAGGAAGGGAAGGTCTCGAAATTGATAAAATATTTTTTTTTTAATTTATTTTTTTTGGTAATTTTGTACAGGTCGCAATTTTTCCTTATAGAACTCGTGGAGAGAAACAAAAAAGATACTCTTCACCATGCCCCTATCTGTCTGTTTCACTAATAATAGTCATTTTTGGATTCGGGAAACAAAAAACGAATTAGATCAGCGAAACGGTTGGAGATAGGAGCATGGTGAAGAGGACCTTTTTGTTCCTCTCGACAAGTTCTATAGGGAAAAATTGCGACCTGTCCAAAATTCCAAACAAAAATTAATTTTTTTCAAAAAAATATTTTTTCAATTTCGAGACTTACCCTTCCTTATAGTACTCGACGAGAGGGACAAGAAAGGTCCTTTTCACCATGCCCCTATCTGTCTTCGTTTCACTAATAAATCATTTTTGAATTCGGGAAACAAAAAACGAATTAGATCAGCTAAACGGTTGGAGATAGGAGCATGGTAAAAAGGACCTATTTTGTTCCTCTCGACGAGTTCTATAAGGAAAAATTGCGACCTGTCCAA